GTAAATGCCTATATTAATATCAACAAACCGAACCACAAGGGTGGTGCCTGATTGTTTTGAGCTTGGCTCCAAAGGTTATAAGTACCGGAGGTCTCAGGTTCAAATCCAAGGAAGAATAAAAATCCCCTTGTGGCCACAAATGTTCAAATGCGATGACTTTGAGCTATCTGCAAAGCAGGTGGTCGCCCTAAGATTAGTCGGCTCGCAAAGCGGGTTGGATATCTAGGTTAATCATATATATATATATATATATATATATATATATATATATATATTAACAAACCGTAACGTAAAAATAAACATTAATACGTCCTAACAAACTTTTACATGAAAATAAGTGAACATCAACGTATATTAACATACGTTAATATACATTCCTATAAATTACCTAGAAAATAAATGTTAACATACATTAACATAATCGGTCTACCTAATTTAGATGCAGGAAACACAACGACAAACCAACCCTGATCCTTCAGAAAGGCAACACACATCAGGGCTCAAGGATCAATATGTGTTGACTCAAAATATCTTACATTTTCATCATAAGTATAATTTATTTTCATCATGAATAAAATTGATGATAAATTTATATTATGATGATATTCATTGTAAATATAATATACATAATTGGTTTCTAGATTCTCAAAAAATTTACTGTATCCAACACACATGCGAACCGACTAATCCCAGGGCCACCTGCTTTGTGGGTAGCTTGGAGTCAACGCATTTGAACATCCGTAGCCATAAGGAGATTTTTATTACTCTTTGGATTTGAACCTGAGAGCTTCCGACACGTTTGACCTTTGGAGTTCAAGTTCAAACCAATTAGACATCACCCTTATGATTATCGTGTAAACCATTAGTCATAAGGGTTCTTTGATTGTTTTAAGAAAACCTTTGAATTAAAAAACATTTTATATGATAAACAACGTTATAATCATACAATACGCAATAAGATAACAAAAGTCTACCAACATTATAAAAAACATGAAAACACTTAGCAAGTACTAAGTAGTATTTAGTGACTTTAATACCATGTGCCATTCCTCAAGAATTCACATGGTCCTACATATTAAAGCTCAATATATTGTTATTTATTTCCAACTACCAATTGTTCTCACACACACACACATATATATATATATATATATATGGAGGTGAGTTATTATGCAATCCTTTACATTTGTATAACCAATACAACTCAATATTAACCGTTCATTTAATTTGATGAATATGTGATTTCATAAGAGTATTGATTGTTTTCTAATATAAAGTATTGATCATAATTAATGAACTCTAGTCATCTTCCATAAATATCAAAATAATAATAAATGAATTCTCATCATTTTCATAAATATCTATACTATATTATAAAGCATTTGACAAAAACTCTTAAAAAACCAATTTTTTTTTGCGTAAAGTACTGTTTATTAATGCATATTACTTAAAACTCAATATTACAAATAGATTGTGCGTAAGTACAATTTATTAAAGCTCCATATCTGAATTCGTGTAACTAACTGTAGATAAACATAATCAAATATAGGATAGACATCTCATTTTAAACATAAAAAATCTAAAATATAATTAAGATAATCATTGAGTTATAACAGAATACTTAATTATTATTTTTATAAAATGTAATATTATTAAATCAAAAATAAATTATTTCATTATTAAACTTAAATTAAATTATAAAAAAAAATTACATAAATTACATAAAAATGAGAACTTTTAAATAGTTGATTTGAACATTGATATATATATTTTTATGATATTTTCAAATTTATATTTTATTCCAAAATAAAATCATTATTGTTTTCTTAAAAACACATAAAATCGTATTATAACATCGACAAAGACAAAGAATAAAACAGAACATTAAAATCGAGATGTATCTCGTTGTATTACACGAGTACCCTTCTAGTCTTAATTAATGAGGTTGCATTGGTTGTACAAATTAATATGATTACATTTGAAATATATTCTCTCTATATATATATGTTTAATTTAGGAGTTAAATACATTGAAGAATAGAGAACTGCCGCCACGTCCAATAATTACAACACTCCCACTCCTTAATTAAAATAAAAATTATTGACGTTACAAAGTTAATATCCATTCAATTAGGTTGTGGTTGACACAATTATATATGATCACTTAATTTATTAGAATATTATTTTATGTATAACGTTTCAAAATTACCAGATTTTTTATAGTAAGATCAGTAACATAATTGAGCTAGCTTATACATGCCACAATGCCGTTAATTGATGCACATTGTTTGTTCTTATCGTGTTCTTTGTACTTGTGATGTCGGATGCAAATAAATAATAAGTTGCGACATTGAATATTTCAAAAAGGAAAACCCGATGTAAATGGTTACATACAAATACCAAAGAATCATAGAAGAATACTAGAAGAAAGGGTTGTTTGTTTACCTCATATATACTAGTTTCATTTAAGAGGTAATCTCTGAACCATTAAGAGGTAAATTTTGTTTGACACAAAAAAAGTCTATCATTTAATAGTTCTAAAACCCACTGAATGATTTTGTATCTTGGACATTCCTTAGCCTTTCAACGTCCTAATTTCATTGTAAACATTTATCAAATAATTATATTTCATTTTGCACTATATCATGAGAGCCTCTTAATCAATCCAACCACTTAATCATTCTGCACCAAATCATTCAGCAACTGCAAAACAACTCATAACATAGAACAATAGTAGCAAAAAATAGAACGATAGAACGTGCTACGCAAAACATAAACATGTCAAACTAGCACAATATTCACATACAATGATGAACAATAGAAAAGGGGGACAATAGATAGAAGAATATGGATATTTTGAAAAGACACATAGTTATAACTAGGGATGCTCATGGATTGGGTTGATCGGGTTGAAAACATTTGAACAACTCAACTCAATGTTTGCGGTTTGGAAAAATCTTAATCCAACCCAACCCCAAACCAAAGTGCAACCCAACCCAACCTGTACGGGTTAGTCGGGTTGATACTTTGGTATATTAAAATATTATTCTAACCTTGAATATGTTATTTCTCTAGTCAAAATTTCTTTTTCATCATCAACCATTTGATACAACTTATCCATATTTCTTACGTATATCACGTTTAGTTAATTTTCTCAATTTACATATATATGTTCACAGTTACTGAACATATATATGAATGAGTTATATAGAGATATGAATAGATTGAAAATATTGGTATATGAAAAGTATACATAATAGTGTAATTGTCTAATGTATATATTAATAAAAATTCAACAATCATATTAAATCCAAGAAATAAAAGGATATCGGGTTAATCGGGTTGGGTTGAGTTCAAATAATAGTAACCCAATATCAACCCAATACCTACGGGTTGACAAATTTACAACTCGATTAGATATCTAGTTGCTTCGGGTTGGGTTATTTCACGTTGGATTGGGTTGGGTTGATCGGATTTTTGAGCACCCCTAGTTGCAACAACATGAGAGTGACGATGACTGACGACAAAAGAGAGCAATTGCATGAGAACAAATGCTATTGGCGATGAGAGGAGATAGCGGTGTGAGCATGATTCAGTTAGAGATAAGAAATAAATTAAAATCCTCAGTCAAATTAGAATCAGAAAAGAAGAAAGTTGATCAAAAGTTAGAACTGAATATTAACAAATAAATTTAACTGATTGATTACACATTAAAATATATAAAAACCGATATGGTTGCTGATATCCAAATCGACGGTTCTATTTGATACAAACTTTATCTTATAAATTCCACACGATTAATAGTAAAATATGAAGTAAAAGAAATTAATGGTACTAATAAATTAAAGCTAATTTAAAAATAAATTAATAATAGATACAAAGTGGTCGTTATGATGCTTTTCTATGCACCTTAAAAGAATTAGAAATCGTCATATACATGAACCGTACCTACTACATGAACTACTCCACATTGTTCTCTAGCCAATATCCTAAACCAAAACTAAACCTTAAAAGACTAAGGGCCGTTTATCAAACACTTACCAGGTAAGTGCTTATCGGTAAAATTTAATATTATTATTACTTTTTGGGTAAGATTTTAGTCCACATAAACGACATCGTATGCAACAATTTACCCGGTAATTAAGCACTTATCATGGTAATAGTCGTCGTCCTCGCTTACCGGGTAAGATTCTTGGTTCTTACCATATTCATCCGGTAAGATAATATGACTTGATAAACGCTTACCCAGGTAAACGTTTGGTAAACGGCCTCTTAATGAAAAAACTACAAAAGAATCGGAAAAAAAATGCCTGCAAGGATATAAAAGACCGCAACAGGATGCTACAAGAAAAATGTGTTTTGTAAGACGTCAAAGTAACTAATTGTGCTATTAAACTGTATTATAAAAATTGATAAAGTGTATTTCATTAGTATTGATATAGTGTTTCTCTTCGATTAAAATTACTCCAAAGGTGAAGATCACTTCTCAACTTTCTCACCGTAATTTTTTTTTATTAACCTGGATATCCAACCCGTTATGCGAGTCGATTAATCTCAGGGTGACCATCTGCTTTGCAGATAGCCCTGAGTCACCGCATTTAAACCTCCGTAGCCACAAATTTTTTTTTATTGTTTCGAGAACAATCGGAATTTAAAACAGTAACAATATGAAAACGTGAATATTTTTTTTGAAGTTTCATAAAGACGGAAGTTCTGTTTTCTAATTTCCTTAAAGCTACCCCGGCGAATCTTTCACAAATCTTGAACAGTTGATACACTTTTTAAAGCTACCCCCAGTCCCCACCCCCTATATCTATCTATATCTATATCTATATCTATATCTATACACACACCCATCCATCTAATACACTAAGCATTACTGCTTGCAAAAACTATATCAACCACCCCCTACATATCTATCTATACGTATATATATAGATGTATGTATATATGTACAAGTCTATAAAGCATTGATTCAGCATTCAGTTTCATAAAGAATCCATGACCAACATGGGAGGCTCCAGCTCTGATGTGCAAGTACAAGAAGCAGTCTTCATTACCCCTTCAGACCCAACTCCTTCTCATCTTCTCAAACTCTCTGCCATTGATTCCCAGCTCTTCTTACGCTTCACCATCGAATACTTATTGATCTACCGCCCTCCCCGCCATCATGGGCCGGCTGACCGGAGTGCCGTCACGGCTCGTGTTAAGGACGCACTGGCTCGAGCCCTTGTCCCTTTTTATCCTTTGGCTGGGCGAGTCAGGGCTCGATCGGATGGCTCCAGTCTCGAGGTTGTTTGTCGAGGTCAAGGTGCAGTCTTCGTCGAGTCTACTGCTGATCATACGGTCTCCGATTTCGAGGTGGCCCCACGGTATGTGACGGAGTGGCGGAAGTTTTTGGCGTTGGAGGTGACGGACGTGCTCAAGGGGGCTCCGCCTTTGGTTGTACAGTTGACGTGGCTTTCCGATGGCTCGGCGGCTCTCGGTATCGGTTTTAGTCACTGTATATGCGACGGAATTGGTAGCGTCCAGTTTTTAAACTACTTTTCCGATTTAGCCACCAGCTGCCGGTACGGGTCGGTGGTTGAATTAAAACCCAGACCCAAACCCATTTGGGAAAGGCACCTTCTTGATCCGACGCCGTATCGCTTACAAACGAGTCAACATCCCGAGTTCAATAGAGTCCCTGACCTTTGCAAGTTCTCGACTCGGTTCAACCCAGATCAACTCACTCCCACCTCGACCACATTTCACGAATGGAGAGTAAACGAGTTAAAGAGTGTTGCAGCCTCGACGAGTCAACTCAGTAAATCATCACTCACTACTTTCGAGGTCTTGTCGGCTCATATTTGGAGAAGTTGGGCCCGAGCATTGAGCTTCCCGCCACAACAATCCCTAAAACTATTATTCAGCATCAACGTACGCAACCGAGTCAAACCGAGTCTACCCAGTGAGTACTATGGCAACGCCATCGTACTCGGTTGCGCTCAAACGACTGTGAAGGAATTAACCGAGAATGGATTAGGCTACGCCACCGAATTAATAAAGGACGCAAAAAACCGAGTCGATGATGGTTTCGTTCGGGAAGTAGTTGAATCAGTGAGTTTGAATCGCGCGAGTCTAGTGCCAGACTCGGTGGGTGTACTAATTTTGTCTGAATGGTCAAAAGTAGGGCTGGAAAGTGTTGACTTTGGGTTAGGGAGGGCTGTTCAGGTGTCCCCCGTATGTACAGACAAGTACTGCATACTCCTGCCCGTACCGGACGATATCCGTTCTGTGAAATCGATGGTGGCCGTACCATCTGTAGCCGTAGGGAAATACGAGTATCTGATCAGAGCCGTTCCTTAAATCGTTGACATTTTTTAGCATGTTTTTAATTGTTTGATTCTAATTGGTGTCAACGTGGTTTTCCGAGTCAATCTCTTTAATTAATTAATTAATTAATAAAAGAAGAGAATGAAGTCGTCACGTGGAATATTGAACACGTGGAATGTGGTGGTGACACGTGGAGGCGGTGATGAGAAGGGATAATGTACTAATGTCGACCACTAAGCGAACATGGTCGCAATATTTTGGGGCTTGTTTCATGGGTTTGCATTATTAACCTTCTAATAATTAATATTATCAAATCATTTTATTGTTCTTTTTAATATAATATATATATATATATATATATATATATATATATATATATATATATATATATATAAGAACCTACTTGAATGATATTGAATCGTCTGCATAATTGGATCGACATGTTTTGTCGTTATATACTAGATTTTAATAAAATAGTTTGATACTTTATACCATAATTCCTACACTTAAAGGTGAAAACCAAATATTCCTATCTAAAATTGACAAAAAAAAGACATATAGAAAAACATGTACTATAATTAATAAATTTAGGGGTTATCTGACAGTTGCTGAATAGTTTGGTGTAAAATGATTAAGTGGTCTGGTCATAATGATTAAGAAGCTCTCATGATATAATCCAAAATAAAATATAATTTTTTGGTAATTGTTTACAACAAAATTATGGCGCTGAATGGTTAAGGGAGATCCAAGATACAAAATCATTCAGAGGGTTTTGTAACCATTAAGAGACAGACTTTTTCTTTCCAAACAAGATTTGCCTCTTAACGATTCAGAGATTGACTTCTAATAGAACTATTAAGAGGTAAACAAACAACCCCTTAGCCAACCGGTTCAGGCCGGAACCAATTTGACGATGTGTATTTGTAAGTTGTAAGTTGTAACTGGTAGCTTAGAAAAATACACTGTTGTTGGGCTAATCTATTCATATTGGGCCAACTTGGTTGAATGGGTTTGGACTTTGGGCTTTGGAGAATGCAAAAAAACAGCCTATTAAAACAAAATGAGTGTTATTTGATTTATAATTATTTATGTTTAATTAACTGATAAATGAAATATTAATAGTTGAAATACAATATTTATAAGGATTATAATATAAATAACCCCACTTCTTATTATTAACAATAGCTATATATCCACATATTGTGGTTAATAATGTTCTCTAATCTAATCAACCACAAGGGTGATGTCTGATTGGTTTGAGCTTGAGCTCCAAAGATCAAAGTGCTTGTAGGTCTCAAATTCAAATCCAAGGAGAAATAAAAATCTCATTATGGCCACAGAGGTTCAAATGCGGTGACTCCGGGCTACACGCAAAACAGGTGGTCGCCCTAAGATTAGTCGGCTCGCATAGCGGGTTGGATATCCAATAATAAAAAAAATGTTTTTCTATAATCAAATAAATTTGTCTTATTTATTTATTTGATTAAAATGATACTCGGTAACCTTCGAAAATATCACAAGAAAAATCATTCAAAACAAATTTTTTTGGTATCGAATGAGTAAAGTTAGGTTAGATAGTATTACAATAATCGTTACCGTCGTTATTAATTAGTTCCGGATGTTGGTCGGTTTTTTTTCAATTTCTTTTTCCATTTTTCTAGCAAAATAAGAAGACAATTAACAATTAGGTATTAACTGACGAACTCTATTACTAAACAATTAACAAAAAACACTAACAATTAGTCATCAACTAATAAACTCTAACGATATCAATTAACAATTAACAAAAAATTAAAAGTTAGGCATCAACTAACATACCGTAACCCCAACTCTAATAATTAACGGAAAAATTTAACAATTAGGTATTAATTAACAAACTCTAATCCTAACAATTAACAATTAAAAAAATTTAATAGACAGGAACAAGTTAACAAACCTTAACCCTAATAACTAATACAAAAAACAAATTATATAAAATATTACAAAAGAAACTAGGCTAGATATTCTTTTGGAGTCAAATCCTATTTTTGTGGGGGTCAAAACATTTTACACACACGTCTGTGTGTGTGTGTATATATATATATATATATATATATATAGGGTTGGATTCACGTGAGACCAGCCTGTTTTCGTAAGACCCGTGAGACCACATTTTTACACGTAACCTTCACAGCAAAAACACTGTGAATGTTTTAAAAAGTCACCTTCACAACATTTTGCTGTGAAGTTTCAAGTGTAAAATGTTGGTCTCACGGGTCTCACGAAAACAGGCTGGTCTCACATGATCCCAAGT